ACAATTGAGCATCTCGATACCACTGATTTTCCAAAGTGGCTTCCCCCAGTTTCCCTCCTCCCATACTGTTTTTGCCCCGCACGTAAATGACGAAAAACACTTGCACCGCCGGGGACTGAGTGACGCTATTTCAATGGCAAAGTGGTCTCTCCTAAACTTTTTGGATTGGTCTAACTTGCCAAATCTTGAAAGCATCAAGGCAAGAAGATAAAACCTGCTGGAGCAATAAAATCATTGGAATGTCACTTGAGACTGGAATAAATCAGTATTAAGAGTAGTATTGTGCCCAATCAAAGACTCTCAAAATATTATCTGTTGCTTACTCTGTTTGTAGGTGTACCGTAAATAATAAACATCACTGCATCGGTCCATCCTCATATTTTTACTTAGTGAAGTGTTTGAAAACGTCCACAGTGAGTCCACTGATTGACATGTTTTGAAGTTATCTGCTACATGTATTTAGGTTTATTTCGATAAATAGTTTAATTCTGTTTAATTCTTTTTCAAACAGCCTCGGGGAATGGAGTAACTTTCAGAGCAAAGACAAGTTACGTGGAGTACCATTTCAACACGACTTCGGCCTTCCTAGGAGCCATATTTCAACTTGAATTCTCCTCCACAAGTTGCAAGGGAGATTTAATACTTGTGACTAGTAGAGACACAGATAACTTTTTCAAAATTTCTTTGGAAGAAGAAGATAAAGTCAATTTTTATTACAAACACGAAGATGGAGATTTCAACTTGCGAATATCTCCATCTCACAACAAAACGTTTTGCGATGGGCAAAGACACAATATTGAGGTTAAAAGATATGGAAAGATGGTCACTTACAGCACTGATGGTGGTGAGGAAATGCAGACTAAAGACACAAGTGTCAAAATAGCCATCTTTAGTAAACCAGATAAGATCACCCTCGGAGGGTCCAATGACAAGTTTGATGGCTGCATGTTCAGTGCATTGGTCCTTTTCCATTGGAAAACCGACTTAAGTAAGAATGTCAGCGTTAACATTATAGAGCGTTACCTCAAGAGGGATCCCAGGGTTCATTCTGCTGCTGTGTTTCCCGGAGCTTGCCCTAACTCTAAATCACCCGCAAAAGGTGATTATGAAATACGAGGTAAGCCATTAAGTATGTTGTAAAATGATGTAGCTGCCATAGAAGCGGTCCGTATAACCAATGACACATCATACCGAACTGTTCATAAATTCTTTCGATGAAATTACAAAGTTTAGTAGTATTTCCCTTGCATGAAAAGGTTTTTCGATCATTTTGCCTCCTCTCTACCAAGGATTTTAAGTGGAGACCATGCCAGCTTTAATTTAGTTCAAGACAGGTCGCTATGTTTTCACTAACAGTCCCATCTGAAGTCCTGCCACGTAGCTGGATGGGCCAGCCTCGATAAACCTGGTACTGAAGTCATGTGGACTTTTGTGCGAACACTGTCTGTACTCTAAAGATTGGCATCTTGTGGAAGATCTGAACATGTTTTCACCATGCATAGCCGGTTCAAGTCAGAACAATGTAGTTTTATCGGACCGACAGAGCTATGGAACACCAATTCCGGATTGAATATACAGAACGCGCAAAGCTCTTAGTACCTAAAAACTATTCAACATTGGTACCATTTTTGTTCCTATACATTTAGAATGTACACGTTCCAACACCGACATCTCCATGACAACGGACCGTGGTGTGATAGCCAGTCCCCAACCACAAGAATCAAGCCACATCAGTAGATGCGTATGGCGCATCACGGCCCCAGCTGAACATTGATTGAAGTTCACATTGCTCTTTTATAACATCAGCGGATTTGTGTCCTGTTTACGTTCTAAAAGTGAAGTCGTTGTCTATAACGGAATATCTTCTGCTTCGAATGTTCTTGAACGGTTCTGTTTCCCCAAATCGAATACAGTGGTGTATACACGAGAACGTCAGATGATGGTCGACATGACTTTACCCGACAGCATCTACCTTGATTTCATTGGCGCTTATGAAGTCGTGAAAATGGACGAAGGTAACTCATATGATACCGTTGAAACTATCTACAACGGCCATCTTGAGGACAAGGGAAAGTAAGGTAGTTGTGTAACATGTCACCTGTTCTTTTCCGGATTACAATATTTATATTTCAGAAACAAAATGCTTATTGTAGCATATTAATACGGAACCCAATAAAAATACATCAAAACAAAAAGTATAAACAGAAACAAAGACCAACGACGCGTAGTTCGGATCAAGTTTAGTGACCTTTTCCAATTAAAAGTGTGGTTTTGTATATACACCGTTCGTCCGTCATTGATGAACTAGCCCTTGTCGAGAGGTTATTTTGGCAGGTGGGACGCGTTTTAGTGGCCGTTGCTGTCGTAGAGAAATTAAAACAAGAGTGCATGTACGGGCTTTCCGCTGGGACCAAAAAAAAGTGGCCGCGTTAAAGAGAGGTGGCCATTATTAGAGGTTTGACTGCAATTTAATGACAATGGTTCTGAAAATGATTGAAACAATATGTCAATGAACATGGGTGCATGGTATGATGAAAAGTATAACTTTTTTATCTCTAACATCCAATCTTTAATTACTACTGCCAGGCCCTTGCCGAACAAACAGGAACCTAACAAACATGTCTGGAATATTGACTAGTCCAGATTTTCCACACAATTACGGATTTGAACA